CGGACAGTCAGCCAGACAGACAGGTAAAACAGACAGACAGGTAAGATGGACAGCCAGACAGACAGGTAAGACAGAAAGACAGACGGACAGTCAGACAGACAGGTAAAACAGGCAGACAGGTAAGATAGACAGACAGACAGACAGACAGCCAGACAGACAGGTAAAACAGACAGATAGACAGTTAAGACTGACAGACAGGAGGAGTCTCTCACCTTCACAGGCTTTCCCGTCTGCGGTGGGGATGAAGCCCATGTCACACTCACAGCGGAATCCACCCGCGATGTTCAGACAGTGTCCGTTCTCACACAGATTCACGTTCTCCGCACACTCATCCGTGTCTACAGGACACACACACGCATTAACAGTGGCACCACATCACGTGTGTGAATGAGCGTGTGTGTGTGTGTGTGAATCAGTACCGACGCAGTAGAACCCGTCTCCAGTGAATCCCTCTTTGCACAGGCAGCGGTAGGAGCCCATGGTGTTCATGCAGTCTGCGCTGGGGCTGCACAGGTGCGTCCCGTTAGAACACTCATCCAGATCTGAAACAGGAAACAGGAAACAGCTCTGCTGCACACCTGACCCCATCAATCCAAACACATCACATCAGATCGCGAGCGAGCATTGTACCTGTGCATCTGATCCCGTTCCCGATCCAGCCCGGAGCGCAGCTGCATCTGAAGCTGCCAGCGGTGTTCGTACAGCTCGCGTGTCGGTCGCAGTTATGAGCGCCGATCTCACACTCGTTAATATCTAAATCACACACACACATGAAGAGAGCGTCACAGACATGTACATCACACTTCACAAACACTAACTGCTGTGTTTGAAACAAAGTGGAAATAGTTAAGTGGTGAGATTTCAGGAGCATGAAATATAGATTGCATTAGTGCCGCCTACTTCTTCAGCAACGTTGGTTGCAAAGTATTCTTCCCATTAATTTTTCCAATGGAGATGGAAAAAAAAGTCTTCATTTAAAACATAGAATTCATGAACCAAACCAATGAGATTCAATGAGAATGACAACATTATAAACTTTGATTTGAAGCAAAAAAAAAGCATTTGGAAATCGGATCAAACCTGAACTTAACAGCTTTAATGAGAGAAAAAAAACTACAATCCCATGAAGCATTGCAAATGATTTAACCGAGTTAAAAGCGATGGTCAAATATTTAACTATTCATTTAAAGTTGATTGTATCTATAGAAAAGATATATTTTAAGTTTATTGCAAAATATGCATATATATACACAAATATTTTGGTAACACTTTACAATAAGGTTCCATTTGTTAACATTAGTTGACATGAACTAACAAAATGCAAATACTTCTAAAACATTTATTAATATTAAGTTAGTTAATTTTATCATTTACTACCACATTATTAAAATAAAAAGTTGTATCTACTAATATTATTTAATAGACCAGAGCTGACATGAACTAACAATGAACAGTTGTATTTTTATTAACTCGTGTTAACAAAGATTATTAAACAGATGTATTACTCATTGTTACTTAATGATAGTTAATGAGATGGTTAATGAATTAACTGACTAATGGGACCTTATTGTGAAGTGTTACCAATATTTTTGTATTTTTTCAAATATGCATTTTGTATTTTTTACTTTTGGCGTGCCGTGACTCTCTGATTGGTGGAATTTTCTGCACAGAATTATGGGTAATGTAGTTTTCACCACAAATTTAGCTGTTAAACAATTATTTTGCAGGTTCACACACACATATGAAAGGAGTTTCATCTCTTACTGAACTAAAGTTCAACTCTAATGACCCGTGGAAATGATGTTTGACCATGTGAGCGGCGTGACATCATTTCCTGTTGAGGGGTCTGAAATAATTGTGCCTGCCTAATCCCAGGATCCCGCGAGCGGTCAGTGTCCGTCTGATGAGATTGTTTAACGAGTGTGTCATTGAACGTGTCTGATGAAGTTCAGCTGTGAGACCTTCACATTCTGTTCCTTCATCAAGTCTCATTAGACTGCAGCTCTCCGTCTGTCCTCAAATAACCGGAGCGGAGCGACCTCTCCGTCTGCCTGCGCTTTTATTAGAGCAAATCTAATCCGCAAAATATGCACAGCACACATCCAGCTGACAGCGAATCAAAGCGATAAAACCAGAGAGAGGAAATAATGGAGCGCTTCAGTGTTTACGCCAAAATAAACCACTTAACTGGCCTGATGGGAACTGAGCTCAGATAAACACGCTCATCAATAAAGACTCATTATCACGTCAGTCAAATTATACAGAATTAACGCATAAACACATGAAGTGTGGAAAGAGAATGAAACTACACGACGAATGGTTCTCTAGAGCAGGAGGAAGCAAGATCCTCATGATCAGGGGCAAATATATAAAATAACTCACCGAACACGTCAAACTGAACAAAAGCACAGCACATGACACACCTTCTAAAAATTAATAAAACACAGAAAATTCATAAACATGTAAAATTTAAATAAATTAAAATAAAAACAATAAAATAAAACCCTTACTAAACCTTAATTAATTCATAAAAATGCAAATAAAAAAAATAGCTAAAAATAATTAAATCAAGTTTAATATTTAAATAAATTATTTTAAAATAAAAAATAAAAACACTAACAATTAATTAAATCATAAAATGTCAAATTAATATGTGATTTTAGAAGATATAAAAAAATGTGTTACCTGAAATAAAATAAACTCAAATACATTTTTCATTTTCATTTAGTTTAACTTGATGTACCAAAACAGCTAAAACTAAAACTGAAGTAAACATTTATAAAAACTAAACAAACACCTAAAAAAAAACTAATAAAAATGACAGTAATAACAATAACAGTGTCACAATTAAACTAAAAAAAAATCATCAAAGAACGATGAACATGCAAATGTATTGTTAAGTTGCTGAAATATAACCTAAATTTCAATCTAAAATGTTGCTGGTCAAAGGGTATAAAAGTTTGGGAATCCCTTCATCCCAACTTAAACTCATTTCTATTATATTTCTATTGGTGTTTCAGACACACTTCAGTACAGCTGAATTGTTGATAATGTTGGATCACCACACAGACTTATTTTTAACAATAAGTTGCAAAAACAAAAGTGTGTGTGTGTGAGTGTGTGTGTGTGTGTCTGTGTGTGTATGAGTGTGTGTGTGTGTGTGAGAGCGTGTGTGTGTGTGTATGAGTGTGTGTGTGTGAGAGCGTGTGTGTGTGTATGAGTGTGTGTGTGTGTGTGTGTGTGAGAGAGAGGGAGAGGATGAGTTTTTAAATAAATAATCAGGCGCAGCGCTCCTGGCACAATAACTACCTGACACTCTGACAGCGATTGACAGGGACAGAGAGAATGCGTGAGTGCAGAGCCGCGCTCATGTAGAGAGATGCCTGATTGCCACGCTCTGAGTGTGTGAGTGTGTATGAGTGTGTGTGTGTGTGAGAGTGTGTGTGTGTGTGTGTGTGAGAGTGTGTGTGTGTATGAGTGTGTGTGTGTGTGATTATGAGTGTGTGTCTGTGTGTGTATGAGTGTGTGTGTGTGTGAGAGTGTGTGTGTGTGTGTGTGAGA